GCGTAAAACATGTGAAATAGAGAAATACCGTCCAAACTAGTGTAATACATAATATATTCTAGAAATATTCTCTCTGAAGCGTGTGTCATAGGCAAAAACGAATGGTTCATGTACATTTCGGCGAGCTGAATCCAAATATAGTCTCAGACTTGAAATCGTAGAATCCATTCAGCCAAAACAGAAATTTTATTTTTTCAACTGATGGCACTCACGAAAACGTATTATTCAACATAATATTCTTTCCAGGATGTGTGTCATCTACAAAAGTGAGTGTGTCATATACAACTCGATGCCTTCTGTCCAACGGTATGGCTGATGGCAAATAAGAGTCCGCGTAAAACATGTGAAATAGAGAAATACCGTCCAAACTAGTGTAATACATAATATAGTAAAAGAAAATGCTCTGGCTCACCAACAAAAAGGAATTGAGAAACGAGCATGCTTAACTTTTATCAAGAAGTCATAGCGAATCTAGCCATGCAAAAATATTGGTCCTAACATTACTCTGAAGAGGGCTGAAAAGTTTGGCGCAAAAAGATGTGGATTTTTTCCATACTAAAATAACCTTTAATTTTCGTCCACTAAAAATGAAATTCTATAATTAGAAAACATATTTTCTAAATCAGTTTTAGTTGTAGTTTCAGAAGAAAACAAAAATGAAGACTCTAGCTCTTATGGTTTAGAAGCTACAATTTTTTTTCTCTGCCGTAGTCATTTTTTTCGACTTTACGATTTTTTCAGCTTTTTATATTTTTTGACCTCAAAAGGCATCTCTTTTTGGACAAATCGTACATATTCGGATTCAGCATACCGAGCTGCAACTACCTGTGCAAAAAAAAATCAAAAAAAACTAGGAGTGCTGGAATTTTGAATTTCACGAATCTTACAAGGAATTAAACATTCAAATCCAGTCAATTTAATATTACGATATTGAAATATATTATAGTATGATGAGGGAATTTGTACAAGAATACGACTATTAAAATCAAATAATACTAATTCTGGTTGTTCGTTTAATTGTTTAGAATTACGGTATAAAATATTAATAAAATTCTTTAATGTTTCTTTATAAGAGAAGCGACCTTTAATCATTATAAATACTGAGAATGAATCATTATTAATAAGAATTGATGCATTTAAACAAGTGGTATTTTTATAAATAAGTTTATGCCAATATCCATTTGAATTAATTAAAACAAGATAATATAACACAGTGGGCATCCAGGCGGACATGTAGCGAAAAATTGAAAGCTCAGTTTTTTAAAATTAAAATAGCGGCAAATATACTTTGATAGCTGGGCTATCTAATGGCATAAAAGTTTTTGTTTCGAACTAGGAATTTGCGGGTAAAAAATGTTGAAGAAAAAATATCTCCTATATCCGTGACCTCTGTGTAAAATCAAGTTTTTATTGAACTGAATCATATTTATATTTCCGAAACGTGTTATCCGGAATCAGGACACGTCTAACCATCTATTGGCCAAAAGAAAGTTCATCTCAGATCAAGTCTTCTAACGAAAAGGAGCTTTCTCCCAAACGAGACGACACTTGTATTCAAGAAATAATGTGATATTCGTATGTGATATCGTAAACTGCGACAGATGATGTATGAGGAGGGCTGCGCGATTGAAATTACAAAATGTACTGTTCAAACATTGCTATTATCTGTAGAATTTTTAGTTGCACATTCACACTCACTCTTCGAATTCTGAACATGTAAAGTTCAGAATTCTAGAATTATGAATTCTACAGATAATAACCGCGTTTGAACTTTACATTTTGTAATTGTAAGCGCGCATCTCTGTGTATGATTATATGAAAATGGGAAACAATCACTAAAAGTTCAGCAACCGTCGGAATCATGGCCCCCGGGGGGATGAATCTTGGCATATTTAGGAAGTAAAACCAGAATTAATGACAGAAATTAAACAGAAAATTAATGATACAACTGCAATTAGAATTGGATCGTATGGAATTAAAATTCGAACGTGTTGAAAATGAATTGCCTATTCTATAAGATTTTTATGGGTTTTAGTCGTGTAAATCATTCAATCCTCCAGTACACGTTACCTAACGCTCGCTATGACTTAAGATCGAATAGTGCAAATTCACTTTACGATTTTAAGGATAAAAGTAGTTTTTTTAACCATTGTTTCCCACTGCTAGAGGCGGCGGAGCCTCATTAAGCCAAGTGAGGCTCATAGTATTTTTTCTTTCCACGTCGAACTGTATCATAGTGTGCAGCCGAATATAAGTCTAATGATATTCACTATAGAGAGCCAAGATTGGGGAGGCCAAAAAAGTTTCGCATCAGAGCAAAAATTTATCCTTCCCCGAGCCTGAAATACATGAAAATTCTATAAAATAACCGTTGCAGGCCTACGTGAAACGGATGAGAAGAGTGGAAGACTCTGTGGGACTAATTTTGGTGGCGAATTAAGTGGTGGCGGTGAAAATGCTGGTACGCATAGGGAAAGTCAGAAAAATAGGTTTATTATCTTTCGCATTTTACTCACTGGGTACGGCTGGAAATATTTTTTCGTCTTGCGGGAACATTTATAGTAAATAAGACAGACTGCAAATAGAAAGGTTATGACTAGAACGATCCCAAAAATACTCCAAGTGTCCAATGAACTGTTCTCTAAAACAGAAAAGAAACGAAACGCTGACCATCCGTAGTTTACAGCAAACCGTATGATTGTTCGCCTCTTGTGTTATATAGCGCTTACTTGTGCGCTGTATCGGACGGAAACGAGCAGTTGTTCTCCTGATGGTCATTAAGCACCGTGCTGTTCTCGTCGTTGTTTTTCAAGTTGTGCCAGCAAATAATTTTTGTTCCATTTTTTTCAAAGACAAAAAAAAGCTTGTAATTAACTGTACACTAACAAATAATGTTAATCGATTTTTACGAAAAGTTAAGCCTAAAATAACTGCTCCAAATAGTCAGAATACTTGTCAAAAGTTCCACTTCACTGTGTAATGATTTCCTTTTCGATCGTTATATAACATCAACTATTCTTCGTTTTTTATTGCCTTAACATCTTTAGAAGCGCTTCGGCTTTCCATATCTTTTCCTCTAAAATACAAAAACTTTGATTGCTTTAAAACGGAAGTAATAATACAGGTAAACGTCGTGAGAGGCTTTTAAATGTATCAGCAAACAGCTATAAGATGATTCATACATTGACAACTATCAGTTTCATTAATCTGTTTAGAAAGGTCTTTTAAAGTTGTCTGA